GTCCACAGATTGTAGCCCAGTCTCAGAGGAAATAAAAAGCTTGAACAATGTGGGAACATTTTGCACCACCATTACTTAGCTACTATATCAATCCCTCTGTATATCCCTCCCTATTTTTTCATGACTGAAATACACACTTCATTTTTTTTAGGAAGTCTTTCTGTTCCCTAGCTCCTCCCATAGCCAGATGCCCACTTCCCTCTTTCCACCCCCACTGTATCACGTTCCTTTTTGCACCACAGCATTTATGAAAATTTCCAGCATATTCAAACCTCTGCCACCTCTTTAAGGTGTGCCTGTCTCCCATTCTCAAGCATCTGATCCATTAGTGATCTGATTATATTCAGGAGTGGCCATTGGCTGGGGGAATGAACCAGAGTAAAAGAAGAGAGAAGCTATATGTACGTATATATACATATTGCATTATTGTATATGTATGTACATAGCATATTATCAATTGCTAATTATCACCTTCGACCCGAGTTCGATTCCTCCGCCCCTCTCGGAGAGCCCGGCAAGCTATGGAGAGTATTCGATATGCCAGACACAGTAACAACAAAGTCTCCAATGGAGACGTTACTGGGCCCGCTCGAGCAAAATTATCACCTTTGCATTTATGATTTCATTTGAAAAATTATTGTCTTATTTGGTCATTATAAGAACTATATTTTAAGCAATTACAACTCTCTCTCATGAGGAGAAAGTTGTTGGTCTGATGAGAAAGGTTAAGTGCTTTGGGCAAGAACACTGGAAATGTCAGAATGAGAGTAAAACTCCCTATTCTGAAGTTATTTCTTCTATAGCTCTATTTACCTTTCTGTGGATTGCCTGACACCACATACATCTAACCCCCCAAAGGAGAGTCAACCTCACTATATCTTTGCTAAACTGCCAATACTTAAATTTCTGGATCCTTATACATCTTCTAAATTTTATTATGATTTAGAATTCATGCTTTCAACACTTTAATTCCTCATTACCTTATTCTTTCTTGTCTGCTTTCCCTTGCTCCCTATGCTCCCAATTTCAACTGTCATGATTTTAGTGCTTTTAAAAGATTCATTCTCTGTTTCATGAGTTTCCTTATTTTTTCGAAATGAGTATCACAAGCAGTTAGAAATAAGATAAAGTTTTTCAAGGTTCATGTTTTTGTAGATTTGAAATGCAGTGTGATTAAATTTTCTTCAGAAATTCAGTCCGAGTTAGAAGTTGGAGAGTTTATTTGTATATCATGCATTTTTTACGGTGAGAAACAATGGCTGATAATCCTGGTTCTCGGTTTGGGGCTCTTGGCGCCGCCCAGTGGAAGAAAGGGAATACAACTTATTCCCGTTCATTGGCATTGTCATAAGTGAACCCTGAGAAATGTTAAAATAAAACTGGCTTGGGAAGAAATACCAGTTCCAACTTTATTTTCAATCTACAGGCACATTTCTTCAAAACCGAGTCCCATTAAACAAATAAACAAAACCACATACTTCAAGTACTAAGCCGAAAACCTGGATATCAGTTGTAATAGCAGACCTCAAGAAAGTATATTAAAGAACAAAAAGTTGTTTTAAACATTCCAGTGGTGAACGACTTCTGTGGTGCAAATGGAGCATTTAAGGACTGAAATGTCTTTTGGAGCAAGAAAAAGAATTTTGTTTTTTAGTATCCGCAGTTAGCAAATGACGTTTTGTATAAAAAATTCAGATATCTTCCAAGGATTTAAAAAGTTTTCTTCCTTTATTCATCTATTATTGTTTAAGTGAAGACATGAAAATGGGAGTAATTTTCCTACATAAGTTTAAGATTATATATATGTGTGTATATATACATATATATACATCTCTATGTATATACATACATACACACATATAAAAGCACCCAGTGAGAAAGTCTGACATTTAGCCCAATTCATGTATTTTCTTGTATATAAATAGAATTTTAAGTATTAACATAAATTCTATTTTATTTAATAACATATTTTTAAATGAAAAGTTATGCTTGCTCTCATAGAAAATGCAGGACTTCTAGGATGTATACATTATAGTACTCTCAGAGTGGGTGAGGGGACTAATGGCAAAAAAAAAAAAAAGAACTGAGAAAAGTTAAGAAACAAAATCCAGTGCTGAAGGATTTATTTTTCATTAAGTTTTCAGTCTAGTCTTTTGAGCCCCACTTTTAGATCTTCAGACCAGTTAGCATTTCCTCCCTGATAGAGACCAAAAGATAGGAGGCTTGATAAAAGTCAAGGTCATGTTTTACCCTCACAATTGTTGCTTGGAAAAGCTGATCTCCTAACAGCCTAAAGAAATCCTCTATGATCTTAACCTTTTAAAAAGGAAATACGATGGGACGTTTTTTTCCCCCTCAGAAGGGGCCTACTGGGTTTCCCTTTGCTCTCCTTTAGAGTTTTCAAATAAGGAATATCACTCCTGCCTGACATTTTCACTTTCTTTTCTTTTTAGATGTTGTTCCCACACCCCTCCCCCCATAGGATCATATTTTTGTCTCCCCTGCTAATGTTGTAAATTATTGCAAGCAAAAGCCGTTGCAGAACCGACCAACACAAGCTGTGCCATCAAGCTTTTGAGTTCTTGAGTCATTTCAGGTGTCTGAACAAAACAAAAACAGGCTTAAATGAATTATTTATCAAGGTCGAGAATAATTGATTTGTGAGTGTTGTCAGTTGAGGATCTTAAATTTGTTTTCTCTCCCTTCCCACCTCCTGCCCGGGAAGAGGCAGACAGGGGATTGTATGCTGGAGCCTGAAGTCCGGGAAGGAAACGCATCTTTTTCAGGAAGCTGAGAACTGATGTCGAAATGAGAAGAACCCAAATTGATATTTGAAGGCAGAAGAATAAGAACATCGACCTACAGTGTCAGCAGCTCCACCGCCCTTACCAGGAGACCCACTGAGCCAAGGATGCGAGTTACTGCGGCGTTTACAGGCGGCCCTTGGCCCTTGGCTAGGTCTTATGTCCCCGGAAAGCCCAAAGTCCTGGGCGTCTGGAATCCTTGGCCGGAAGGCCAAGGCCTGGCCCCTAGATTCCTAAGAGGGTCGCCCCAGCCGGGGCGCACTTCCAATTCCAGGCCCCGATCAGGTGCCCCCGCGGCTTCTCGGCCCGGGTACTTTACGCTCTCCCGGCCAGCCAGGACTCCGCGGCCCGCCCTGCAGCTCGCCCCGCGCGCCGCCTCGGCCAGTCAACCCCCGGCCCTTTCGTCAAACTCTTCAGTTTGCCTAGAAAAACGGCAGCGTCAGATTGTACATTTCATTTCCCCGCTGGGCTTTCCATTCCCTAGACTACGAGATGGTCCCATAAGGGGGCGGGGGAAACCCGTTTGAAATAGCCCCACGCACCCTAGAAATAGCTCGGGCTCTTTATTTCTGGAACAAACACGCCGGAATCCCCCAGGAAAAAGCTGGGAGGATGAGCCTCCCACCTACCCTTTAGGCCCCGGGGGCGCACACAGCAGTTGCTCAGGACTGAAGCTGGATCTTGCCCCAGGAGGGTCTTGGGCTTCCTTGGTCCCACCCCCATCCCGCGCCTCTTCCTGCTCCCTCCTCAATGGGGAAAATAAAAGCTATTCTGCAAGAAGAGATCCTCGGAGTTGCAACTCAACCCCCGAGTTGGGCCCAGCCCTAGGAGACTTGAAAGGCCATTTTCTACTACCACCGTGCACCAAAGTCACGAAAGCGATGCCAGCCACTCAGATTCATAGGGCTCTTAAAATGGTAATTTGGAGTAAAATGTAACTCAAAGAACTTTGAATCATTCATTAGCACCTTATAATTACTCTGCTAATTAGGTTGACACGGCACTTAATCAGGAGTAATACGCCGTCTTGTCACTGGCACTTCCCATTACTCTGACATTCAACAAGAGACAGGTTGGAGACGTCCGGGAAAAAATAATGCAAGTTGATGCCCTCTGCTGAGGCGTCTCAGCCACATCTTTCTCTGGCTCCCAAGTGCACCCACAGTGACAGTCTCCTTTCCAAGGGTGCAGAGAGAGAGAGAGAGAGAGAGAGAGAGAGAGAGAGAGAGAGAGAGAGAGAGAGAGAGAGAGAGATGCACCCAATCCCCTAGTCCCAGTCCTGCCAAAGGGAACCGTGCCCAGTGGAGAACACCTCATCTCGCCCGACTCCGGACACTCTTTGTCCGTCTTGGAAGAAAGAGTCAGCTCAAGCATTCCTTCCAGCACCGGCTCTGATTAGATCTGCTCGGGCACCGGGTTTTGTGCATCAGGACCTCCCGGCCACGGTGCAAGCGGACCCCATTTCGTCCTCCGCCCCTTCCCAAGTGCGGGCCGCTTAGGTGGGTCTGGGCAATTCGGGGGTGGTGTGTGTGTGTGTGTGTGTGTGTGTGTGTGTGTGTGTGTGTGTGTGTGTGTGAAGTCAGAACACGAAATCTGCCGGCCCCAGAGTACTAGCTGTTGGCGTTGACACGCTCTCCCGGGCTTTCCTTCGGGGCTTTCCCTCAGCTCCCAGTGTCCCCGGTCTATTCAAGCGCAGGAGTCTAAAGGTAAGTCGAGAAAATTCCTTTCCCCCTCCTGTCCTCTTTCCCTCCTTCTTCGGACTTCGTAAATGAACGCCAGATCGTTATCGCCCACTTGCGTGTGTTCTTCCCACGCCCCCTCCCCCGGCGCAAGCAGTTCGCTCCTCTAGTCTTCCTCGGCTCGCGTCCCTCTCTGGCTTTGCCCCTCGCGCGTGATTGTGCACACCGGGACCGATGCAGGCGTTAGGTGTTGGGCTTTGGGTTGCAGGCAAAGGGACCAGCGAGTTCTCAAAAGAGCAGCGAAGCCCGAGCCGCGCTCGCTGACGGGTGGCAGAGCCGCGCACCGATTGGCTCCGGGCACGTCGGCGTCGTTCGTTCGCGCGGGCGCGGCCAATGGGGGCGCAGGACCCGGCGCGCGGCCTGGGCGGCTGGGGCGCGGGCCCGGCGCGGCGCGGGGAGCAGCGGCAGTGGCCGTGACGTCACGGGAGGGGGTCGGCGCCGCCCGCAAGAAGCCGGATTACAAGCGATCGCGCCCGGCTGCGGCCGGAGTCGCTCGGCGCCTCGTCTCCGCCGTCTGCTCCTCCTGCACCTGCTTCTTCCACCACCTCCTCCACCACCTCCTCCTCCTCTTTCTCCTCCTTCTAGTGTTACCGCGACCGCGGTGGCGGCGTCTGAGCCACAACTTTCCCAGAAAGTTCAGAAACTAGACTGTGGGGTGACCGAGTGGCGCGCGGCAGATACCTCGAGGACCCGGGAGCTCCGAGGGTGCGCGGCCACCCGGGCTCCGCGGACGTCTCTAGCTGCCACGTCCGCCGCCGCAGCTGCAGCTGGGTGCCAGGCTGTGGGCAGATCCCGGCGGCGGCGGCGTCGGGGGCCCCCTCTTGCCGCCTGCACCTTCGCCTGGGTCCCCAGAGCAGTCACCGCTCTCCCACGTGCGAGGTCGTTCTCGGAGCACACGCTCGGTGTTGCCTAAATTTTTTTTTCTGGCTTCCCCCCCTTCCCCCGGCCTTTCTTCCTCCCTACCCCTACTTTTTTTTTTTCCTATAAGGAAACAAAAAGAAAAAGGAAAAGAGAAAAGTTGTGTCGAAAGTGCCCACCGATTGCCACCTCCCGATAATCCCTCCTAGTCTCCCCGCCCCACTTTATTTGTGGTTTTGTATTTTTTTTTAAACTCGGCGACAACCTTGCTGAGTGTTTTGTTTTGTTTTACGATCGGTAGCTTCCTTTGCTTGGGCTGGCTGCTGAGCGGCGGAGTGGCGTGGACCTCATGTAGAAATGACAACAATGGAAGGGGCCAGCGGGTCGAGTTTTGGAATAGACACGATTTTGTCCAGTGCCAGTTCGGGCAGCCCCGGCATGATGAATGGAGATTTCCGCCCGCTCGGCGAGCCCAGGACCGCGGATTTTAGGAGTCAGGCCACTCCGTCGCCCTGTTCGGAGATTGATACCGTAGGAACGGCGCCTTCTTCTCCCATCTCGGTCACCATGGAGCCCCCGGAACCACCTCTGGTCGCAGATGGGCCCCAGCATCACCATCACCTCCACCACGGCCCGCAGCCACCGCCGTGCGCCGCGGCCCCCACGCAAAGTTTGCAGCCTTCGCCCCAACAGCAACCACCGCCGTCGGCGCCCCAGCCTCCTCCGGCGGCCCAGCAGCTCGGCTCGGCCGCGTCGGCCCCCAGGACTTCCACCTCTTCTTTTTTAATCAAGGACATCTTGGGTGACTGCAAACCTCTGGCGGCGTGTGCACCCTACAGCACCAGCGTCTCCTCTCCCCACCCTACCCCGAAGCAAGAGAGCAACGCAGCTCATGAGAGCTTCAGGCCCAAGCTCGAGCAAGAGGAAGGCAAAACCAAACTCGACAAGCGGGAAGATGCCCAGGGCGACATCAAATGCCACGGTGAGTCTCACGCCAGAGCCGGCTTCCTTATCTAGCATCCCCCCGCCTCGGTTTCCCAGTCTCCCCCCCCCCCACCCCCTTTTCCCCCTGCAGGCGCTCGAGATTCCGGGGAGTGATACCCGGAGCTTCCCCGGCCCATGGTTCCGTTGTCCAAAGCTGCAGTGTGGAGGGAGTGTGGAGTGGGGACTCGTCCCAAGTTCGTTTTTATTGTCTGTTTCTACCTCTCAACCCTTACCGCCATTCAGCACCTTCCTCCGTTTTAATCGGTTAGGAAGGGGGTGGCAGTGCTCCCACAGGGGAATTCGTTACTCTATCCTAGGAAAGAACTTGAAAAAATTTTTTTTCTGGCTGAGACCTAGATAGGTAGGACTGGGGGAAGTAGGACTAGAGAAGTAGGACTGGGAGAGAGAAACTGGTTTAGCTATCAAGCATGGTGGTTGGCAGTGATGGTGGTGATGGTGTGTGAGTGTATGAGTGGGGGGGTGTCACAATGTGGCGTTTATTCTTTAATGTGAATTATTTCATGCCACCTCCCCCCCCCACCATCACGTTTGCCAAATACCATCACAGGAATGCTCAAATTTAATGAATGAAAAATTTCAGAGGGGATGAACAGACCAACTTTAAGAAAATCACGATTAATCCAGGAAAGCCCGCATTCACAATCAGTTTCTTTAAACATCCTGCTTACCTCATGTGAACATCCACATTACAGTAGGATTTTTGGATCTTTAATCATAAGTGGGAGGTAGCATTTGTGAAAGCAAAATTTTAGGAGATAAAATTGTTCTATTTTGTTGAAATAAGAAGGTGGCAGTTGAAATTATCCTTTAACTCTTTTCCCATGTTTCCCTTGGAGAATTCTGTAAAAATTGTTCTTGTCTTTGCATAGCGAAAGAGTTTTAATGTACAGGAGAGTCTTTCCCCCTTTACTGATAAGTTTATTATTATTTTTATTATTACTACTTTGATTAATATTTGCCGTCTCTGGGAAAGACGTGTGCTGTCTGGAAGGTAGGATATTGGCACCTCATTTTACTATTATAGCATTAGCATAATAGCGCCCAAAACAGATGTACAGTCTGGGCTGACGATTTTTTTGTGCATCAACCTCCCCAGTGGGTCAATTAGAGAGATTATTGTTCTTCCTGCAGGGAAGATCAAGGAGCAGAGCAAAAACGGGTACAAACAGAGAGGGATTGACATATCGATTTCCCAGCATTTCAGGGAAAAACCAAAGTTGACAAATAGAATCCGGAAATCTCTGGGCTGTCACCTGAATGGGCTCAGTGATTCTGAGCTCAGCTCAGAGTCGTCTGAGCGATATCTTCTTTCTGAAGATTTGAAAGACCTTATGCAAAGATCTGCAGAGAGCTTGACTCCAACATTTCCCAAGTGCATCCAAAAAGAGAAACCAAATACCTATGGTTTTCAGCAAACAAAAATAAAATAAAAATTGTGCCTCCCCCTTGCCCCATTCCAAAAAAAAAAAAAAAAAGAGCACAAAATCTTTTAAGAACTCCCTAATCAGAGAAAACAGAATAAAAACAATCAAGCAAACTGGGCAGAGTTTCTCCACAGTTAAGGAAACAAGAACAAAAGGACCCTTTATTTAAAGTATTTATCCCCCTTTTTGACTTCTAATGCTAAGATGCTCAGAGAAACCTTTTAAGAATCCTTTCAGGAACTGTGGAGGAGATCCACACTCTCCAGTAAGAATTTGGCCCTCTTCCTCCATAGGAACATCACATCTAACATCGAAGTCTCTCTCTCTCTCTCTCTCTCTCTCTCTCTCTCTCTCTCTCTGTATGTGTGTGTGTGTGTAGGTGGGGAGCAGAATGAAGCCCCTTCCCTCTGTCCCCAGTCCCTGTGCAGTGGCTGGTTTGGGATTGTGGAATTGTCTGTGCAAAGAAGACAGCCACCTTTCCCTATCCCAGTCTCACTTATGGCTTGTCTGGGTTTCTATTGTAGGAACAAAGGAAGAAGGCGACCGGGAGATTACGAGTAGCCGAGAGAGTCCCCCAGTGAGGGCCAAAAAGCCTCGAAAAGCCCGTACGGCTTTCTCTGACCATCAACTTAATCAGCTGGAAAGGAGCTTTGAGCGGCAGAAGTACCTGAGTGTGCAAGACCGCATGGACCTGGCGGCAGCCCTCAACCTCACTGACACCCAGGTCAAGACCTGGTATCAAAATCGCAGGTAAGGGGGATGAGGATGGGCGTGGGGGGTGAGGGGAAGAGCTGCAGGTGCCTGGCCTCTCACCCACATTCTTCTCTCGGTGACTGGAATCAGAGGGCAAAGGGTGGGTGCTGGGAGCTGCCTCCTGAGCAGGGATTAGACACACCCCCATGGAGAGAAGAACCCCAGGACAATGTTGCACTTCTGAGTTTCTTCACAGAAACTACTTTCCCCCTCATACCCAAGTAGCTGAAATTCCCCTCTTTTCTCCCCAAATCAAGCCACCCACACTTTCTCAGATTGAGACATTCATGCAGCTGACACTTATGCCCCTAGAGTCTAGGAAGTACACCCCACGGGCCTGCCCCAGGCTGGTTTGGAATGTCTGTAGCCAGCCAGCCTGGCCCTTTCATACATAGTCTGCAGAGCTGCCCCAGCAACCTGCTTAGATGGCCTTCCAGTGGGGAGAGGCGGGTGGGTCGGCAGCCCAAGATTTTAGCTGGAGGATCAGGCAGCTGGCCAGTGGTTAGGCCTGGGAGATATGTCCCCTGTGCGGGCCATCTCACATTCAGCCTTGAATGCTGTTTTGCCTGAAAGAAAATTAAGAAAGGAACTGGTAATAATTACAGGCCCCTGAACGATAAAGCCAAGCAGAGACATTGGAAGCCTAGATTATGCTGTTTGCAGGCTTGATGGTTGTCTCCCCATCTCCATGTTCTCTTTCCCTCCTCTGATCTCGTTTGTGTTTTAATCATCCATAAGTGCAGTTGGAAATGCCCATTCAGTTGTCATCTTTACCATAATTTTCTGTCTCATTACATACGGCTTCAGCCACCCTAATTCTGTCGGAAAACATTAGTGTCATTTGTAGCCAATTTAAAATGGACGACATGTTTATTAATTTGGCTGGAGCTGTTGCATGAAGGCCCACCAGCCCTGAGTCCTTGGTGAAGGAATTGAGCAAACAGCCACTCCTCCCTTTCTAGCGGGTGTGGGGTGTGGGGAGGATTGGGGGGAGGTGGCCAGGAAAAGCTGATCACAGGTTTTAATTGTTACTATCTCCCAGAGGAGAAAATATCTTGAAAAGCAATTCCACCCCCCCCCCCCCAATGGCCCCGAGGTACTGTCCTCTTGAGAGAGCTCTCCCTCCAACAGATTCCATTCTGCAACCTCCACACCGGCCTTCTGTAAGCCCTGCTGCCTGGGGTCTGCTCCATCAGGGCTGTGCCTCACAGCCTTAGGGACTGAGAGGGATTGGGGCCAGATGCCCCACGACCCTCCTGTCCCTTTGTTTCAGTTTTTTTCTCACTGGACCTGAAGAAAGAAGAACAGGCAGAGAACAGGCACTGGAATTGAGTTGGAGGTGGGGAACGCAGTCGAGAAAAATTAGAGGAGGGAACATCTACAGTGGTCCAGGTTGGCTTCCTGGAAAGTTCTAGGAAGTAGCCTAAGGAAGGGGAGCAGCCGATCAGGGACAGGAAGAGGGATCAAATCTGGCCGGGTTACATTTGCGAGAGGTCTCAGGCGTCCAGGGTGTTCACTGACAAAACGGACTCGATTTAGGGCTCTGTGTGAGCAAGGCTGGGGGTGGGGGTAGAGGGTGGACAGGATGTGAATTAAGCTTAGAGCTCTTTGGGCCCTCTGGATCCCCGTGGAGAAAGAGGAGGCGAAAAGGCAGAGAGAAGAAGGGGTTGGGGCAGGTGTCCGAACGGCGCCCCCACGGCAGCGTCGCGCATACCTCTGTATTTCCTCCCCCCAGGACCAAGTGGAAGCGGCAGACGGCGGTGGGCCTGGAGCTGCTGGCCGAGGCTGGGAACTACTCGGCCCTGCAGAGGATGTTTCCGTCGCCGTATTTCTACCACCCGAGCCTGCTGGGCAGCATGGACAGCACCACGGCGGCGGCCGCGGCCGCGGCCATGTACAGCAGCATGTACCGGACTCCCCCCGCGCCCCATCCCCAGCTGCAGCGGCCCCTGGTGCCCCGAGTGCTCATCCACGGCCTGGGCCCCGGGGGACAGCCGGCCCTGAATCCCTTGTCCAATCCCATCCCGGGCACCCCGCACCCCCGGTGAGGAACGAGCAGCCCAACGTCGCCCCTTCCCCGCCCCGCTGCCCCCGGCCCGGCCTCGGACAGCCGCCAGCCCCTCCTGTCCCGCAGCGGGGCCGTCGAAGCACCGACGAGGGAGGCAGAGAAATGCAAGAGGAAGACGCCCACCCCCAGGCGGTGGCCCCCCCTAAAGGAACCCGCCTTCTGTTCGCCCACTCCCCAACCCCTCAGAGACAGGACTGCAAAGCCTCCCCCCCACCCCCAACTGCAGCGTGACTGGCGAGAACGCTGACCCCACACAAAGTGCGACCAGTAAGTGAACACACCCACACAAACAGAACCTCAAGTTCTTTTACGCTGTGACTTAAAGGACACGCAGAAAGGGGGCGGAGGGAGGGGCAGGAGGGAAGGAAGAAGGAGCTGAGAGGACAGCGCCCCGCGGAGAGAAGGGTCTGGGGACCCACAGCCTCTATTTTGGAGGCGCAGGGCGTGACTGTGGACATTGTCTCCCCCAGAGAAAAGAGGAGGGTAACTGAGAACTTTGCACTGATTTCTTATGACCTTTTTTTTTCTTTTGGAAAAGTGGCATGCTCCATAATATGAAAAAAAATGTACATTTGAAAGACAGAATGATAAGTGATATATCATATTTATTATATGTTGTCCAAAAAAAAAAAGAGTCACTTATATACGTTAGTAAAACATGATTTTTCTTTCCATGTCCTTTTCGATTCAGTCAAATAAATGCTTAGACAAAAATATAGATTTTTTTGTGATTGAAAATTACAAAAATAAAGTTTATCTTTTTTTAAACAAGCGATGAAATCCAAGGGAGCTGATTTTACTAAAGCAAAATGTGTTGTGGTTCTCTGATGACATGCATAACATGGTTGGGGGAAGAAAAAGAAAAAAACTGTCCTCCCGGAATATTCGAATGTACAGAATCTGTGAAGCCGTGGGTTTGATCTGTGGACCCCTAGCTCCCAGTGGTCATGTATTTGGTATTAACATGAATTTCCTACTCTCTGAATGAGCTTGGTTTCCCAGTAGCGCTGGCCACGGGAGAGTGTGCTCAGAGGCTGTCGGTGCGGCTAAGCGGCCGGCCAACTTTCGGCCATCTCTGCTTGCCGGCGGCCCCAGCTGAGCCCACGATGCCGCCTACCTCCTGCTCCTCCAGCCCCTTCTCTGGCTGCGCTCAGGCCGGGAGGGTCGGCAACGCGGGGCGGCGCCGGGCTTGCGGGCTGCTGCAGCTGCGGAGGGTGCCAGGGCCTCGCAGCTGTTCTGCTGCTGGCGCGTCGGGCCGGCGGAGAGCTGGAGGCCGCAGGGCACGCAATTAGGACCCGCTCCCTAGGGACTCGGTTAGGCCTGGTTAAGCAACATTCGTCGCGACTTTGATCCTTGTCTTTCCATTTTCCCGTCGGTGTCCCGTCCCCAGCCCAGGCGGAATCTCTTATAATCTGGGCTGGAGTGGGAATGCAGAGGCGTCCTTCTCCGGGTTCCTGGATGGGATTGGGACCCCAGAATGAGATCGGGACCTGGAGGACTTGCTTCATTCAGTAGGAGTGTGTTAATATTCGTAGCATCCTCGCAAAACAGGGTCCTCACAAGGTTAGTACTCAGGACTATGCTGATATGCAATGGAATGAAGGCTACAGCCTCATCTTGGATGGAGGTCACTTCCTGAGGAGCCAGAGAGTCAGATGGACCCCCCACTGGGCTCATCCCCTGTTATCTATTTCCATCCTCACCCCTGCCCCAGTATAGTGTCAAAGGGGTAAAGACATAGCTAGAACACATCGTAGCTTGCCCTCTGTCTCTGATGTTAGAACTTCAGTAGACTTAAAATAATTTTTCTGAAAATTTGCTGTGCTGTGGGGTTTTTGTATACTGGGTAGGAGCTGGAAGAAGGAAAGGAAGAGGTACCTCCAGCACCTTGACCAGATCCCAGCTTAGATCGCATAAATTTGCTTTAAGAATGGTCTTGGTCTTATTTAAGTTTAACAAAAGGGTCTGAGTTGCACCTCCTTTTCTTCCCACTGAGTTGGACTGGACTAGAAACTAGGTGGGCTAGAAACTGGGTATCCTCATTAAACTATGTCTGATGGGGATACCCGGTGCCTGGGTAATCCTCAGACTTTCCTTGTTGCGTTTCAGCTGCTGCTGGATTTTATAATTACATTTAAATAGTTCACAAATGGTATGTGTGGTCTCACAAGGCACTTTCCAAGAAGAGAATGCTACATCTTCTGTCTACATTGGCTCTGGGACCGGCTGGTCAACTTTGGGCATGATTGGGATCTGAAAAGTCACCGGAGTTATACACCCTCAGTTCTTTACAAAGAAAACCTCGGTCCCATTGGGGGGAAAATTTAAGACGTGCAAATATAAACCAGGTTACAAGTTCCCAGCAGCCCCCAGCAGCCTGCCAGTAGTTCACTGATCACTGGGCCAAGGAAGTTGCTGGCTGTCCCCTTATAGTCAGGGATGAACTTGAACTCCTTAGGTGGCTAGTGATGGGAAAGTACTACTTCTGCATGCTTGGCTTCTTATTAGTCTCTTCAGTTTTTGGCAAGTGCTGCTAGCAATTACTCTAGAATCATACCGATGCTTTAGATTTGCTTTTCTTAAAGTTGCATTTCCTTTCACTCCCAAACTGTGCTACCAAAAATGCCAATTCTCCTTCTGATTTTGTTTGGTAATCTTTTGTTGCATAGACGTTGGCAGCTTGAGATGTTGGAGGGGCTATTGTCCCAGAAAAAGGAGTGAGGGTGTCTTTTTCTTCTCTCCTTTCTTCAGCAGTATTATACTTCAGTAGACACCCTTCTATCCAGATATTCCAAGCTACTTCTTAAAAGTAAAACAAAAACCCTGTCATTACCCACAATATAGGCTCTTCTGTATTTATAGCAAAGTTTGAGGGGTAGCAAAAAGGTTAGTGGGTGGGTGCAACGGCAGGTTTTCTGGAAAGCAAGAAATAAGACAGCAAGGAAAAGTCTTTGAATGAGAGACCTGGAGTTAGTTTGGAGGACCAAAGAACACTCTCCCTGAGAGCTTTATCCCCTCCCCCCTACTTTGAGCTGGTATCTGAAGGATCGCCAACAGCTACACTCCATTTGGATGACTTCTTTAGTTAATTAAGCTGGGGACTGGCAACACAAGAACTTTCAGTGCAATATTTGCTTGCTAAGGAAACAGAGTTATACAACCTGTTTCAGAGATCATCAAACACCCCCCAAGTCCCTTGATTTTCCCACCCCAAGATCAGCTTCTGGGTTCCAGCAAACCTAGTACAAATCTGTACTGAGTGTGAAGATGTTCATGCCCTGGCTTTGGCCCAAGGTAATGTTTTCAGTGAGTCACCATCAAATAATGATTTCTTGCCTGCCTCCGCCTCCAGCAAATATACCTACCACCTCATATCAGTTTAGTTTTTGCTTCACTCTTTAAAAAATGAAAGCCTACAAGACAGAAAATTAGACAGCCAATTTCCTCTGCTGTGGAAGAAAGAAAAAGAAAGAAAGAAAGAAAGAAAGAGAAAGGAAAGAAATCCCACTTATCCTCCAACCAAACTTCCCCCCTCCCTCCCCTCATGCCATCTGACTCCTGTCTAGGCTACCCTTCCCCAGGAGTCTGCTGAATCCCACCTCCCATCTTTAAACAGAAGGCTGTGAGTAGTTTGTTTTGTTATATTTTTAACTTTCTAAAAATATTTGGAAAAGCTCTCCCCAGGGGGAAGGAAACTTTAGTTCCTTCTAAAGCACATGGTTATAAAAATATACTAGAAGAAAAGCGGCATGGTTTTGTAGAAACCCAGGTGCTGCTGTTTGAAATCAGCCTGTTGGAAAGAGACTGTTTTCACTGTTGCAGAGCATGGTCAGGGCCAGGGCCACAGCCCTCAAGGGAACTGACATTTTCTTCACAAGCTCTGCGTCACTCGAAGAGAAAGCTGGCTTGTGGCTAGAGGATGGCTAAGTACCCCAGTGGGGACTACTCCAGGGTTCAACTCCAGGATTCTCCGAGAATGGCCCCAGATTCCAAATTTCCCACTGGGTATCAGTCTAGGCTGCTTTCTTGGCCAGCTCCAGTCCTCTCAGCGGCTCACTTCTTTTCCTGGGGTTGGGGTACAAAGCCAGAGTCCAGTACCCCCTTTTTCCATTTTCTGATAGCATGGACACCCCCAGATCTGAGTTAGGGAGTCTGTGTGTGGGACTGAGAGGAGGTTGTGTGGTTTCGGAGAAGCGGTTGTTTCACGGTTCTCTTGCCTGGGAAACTCGGGTCAGCTGTCTCAGGGTGCTGAGATGAACCCAGTAGGGGGCTTGGCCCCTTTCGTTCTTTGGTTGAATCTGGAAGGTCTCTGCCAGTCTGAGTGGTGCAGGGTGAATTTTCTTGGTCAGCTTCTCAGCCTCTTCCCCGACCTCCCGGGTTTTCTTTTTCCTAGCACCACAGACAGCTCCCAGGGCTCTGGGCTGAGCGACTTGCCCGGGGCGGGCGGGCACCGGGAGGCCGTGGCGCCCGCAGGGGGCGCGCCCGCAAGGTGGTTACCAGGCGCCCTACACAGCAGCGCTTCCCGATTAGCTCTAAATCCAAACAGGGTCACATTCCAAAGAACAAAATCTTCAGATCAATAAAGTCATTTAAAACCCCCAAGATCTCGGGTAAGGAGTGCTCAGTGACAGATCAAGTCTAAACCGTCCCTATTTAAAACGTTCTTAGTGAAAGCCAACTGGGGCGGAGGAGCGGGAGGCCCCAGGGTGGCTGCTCCGAAGCCCTTGCACCGAGGCCACAGTGAGGTCGCCGGTGGAACTGCGTTGCAGGACACTTAAGAATTTTCTCTTTCCGTGTGGCCCGGACCTGGTCTTTGCAAACGGCCGCCTAAGGCGGGTGCCAGCCCTGCTGGAGCAGCGTTCCAGAAAGTTCCCGCCGCCCTGCAGGTCAGGTGGAGTGAAAATCCGGAACTCCACAGGGGCTCGCACCCGGAGGCGCGCCTCTTGGACGCGGGTTTGTCCCTCTCCACCTCCTGCTCCTCTCTGACCTCGGGAAATGGGGTGGCCCCTCGGGAGCTGTCCACGGACAGCAGATGACTTTCGCGCGCGGAAGGCTAAATTTGTTGGGCGACCAAAGGGCCCAGTCACTCCGTGCGGATTGTGGATTCCGCATCCCTCCCCACCCCAATCCTTATTTCGGGTCGCCTTGCTGTTTTGAGCCAAGAGGCCCCAGATGTCGCGGTTCTTCCCTCCCACTCCTACCGGCCCGGCGAGCACACTGCAGCCAAGAGGTTCGCGCCGTGGCTCCAGAGCCCCGCTTGCAGCGAGCCGGCTCCGCACCCGCTCCACGGAAGCACGCGAGCGCGCGCGGGGCCTCCACGCTCCTCCCGCCGCACCTTCCACCCCCCTCCCCCCCGTTCCCCTGGACGGCGGGCAGCTAATTCCTGCGCGGGCTCCCCGAGATTTGGGGCAGTGTTTCAGCGAGGAATAGGTGCATCGGGACTGCGATCCTGCAGACCAGGGATAGTAATCTAAATGCTCTCAGGACGGCTGCTTGTTCCGAACCTCCAGAGCAAGGAGCCTTCCCGCGCACCACGGTGGGCAAGGGAGGGAATAGAAGGCCTTCTCCTAGGAAGACAATAGATTCATCTTTGCTCCGTTGGCAGCTCCGTCCTGTACTCTCTTTTAAACTACCTCCCCCCAAAGGCCTCAATTTCACCCTTGGAAGCCAACGCCTCTTTGTTGATTAACCCAACCCCCGCCCTCACCCCTCCCGCTCTTCTTTCCGACTTTCCCATTACAGTTGGAGGGATGGAAATGCTAATG